GGTGACATGTTAATTTTTCTGTTGGCAGCAAACATTGCACGTATTTGACAGGAAGCCTTGTTTTTAACAAAGCAACAAGCTTTTAATTGCTGGATCTTTCTATAAGCCACGGAATATGTTCTGACTGCCAGCAGCCTGAATGGCCTTGTTTTTGATAATAGCCAGACTTTGAAGTACAAAACAGTTGGCTTCACAAAGCTCTGTACTGTGGCTTTGCTCTCTCATTTATTGAATCATTTTGGCTCCGCTGCTGCCACTGCTGGGTGTCTTTTTATATCAACTGGCTGCAGTTTGTATCTTTATCTTGTGATGCTGCATAGAGCCATAAAGACACACACACACACACACACACACACACACACACACACACACACACACACACACACACACACACACACACACACACACACACAGTCACATACTGGCCATGTACAACACACACACCAGTTATGAAAAGCTGAAGGTTTTATCTCTCAGATTAAAGTAAAGAATCAATTCAAATCACTTGTTTGTAATCGTGTATCACCGCTGTAGTACTTTATATTACATTTTTATATTTTAACATATATTGTTGTTATTTTATGTGTTTATACATTTTAAGACAAGTTTGAAGCAAATTCTTGAGTCCTAGAACTATTTGAAGAGTGAGAACCATAGCCAAGTGTGTATAGTTACAGAAGTGTTCACTGTACTAGCAAACTGTATAAATGAATAGGAAATGATGCAGCTTGTCAACAAGATGTATGAGGCAAACAAGTACCAATCAGAGTTACTTAATAGTAATAAGGTGATCCACACTTACATTACTGTGTGGCTGCAGGCCTGCTGTTATTAAATATTCAAGCGTCCAGGTGATGGATTGGCACACTTTGTTGTGTCGCAAACACTGAGCAGCAAAACAAGCGCAGTTGCTATGGTTTCCCGTGTGATCACCAGATGTCTTTGTAGAGCACCTGCTTCCTAATAGAGCTCCCTGGGAATAGAAGTGCATCTTCACAGGACACTATCCAGATATGTGCATGTTATCTTTTCCTAGATAAGCCAGAGATTACACAGATATTCACTGTGTGTTGTTTAATGTAACTTCATAGACAAATAAAAGGCCCAAATCACCAGCAACAACTTCTATGGTTAACCTTATTTTACTGAAGATCTGATCTTAAATCACTGTGTTTTTAATGTGTTTTTCTTTCTTTATTCTCGATATGCAGACTCAGTTTAGATCACCAGCATAACATAATGAGAGTTGCAGTAGATGTAACTTCTTTTATGTAGTCAAGAGCTATGTGGTAGCTTTTGCAGTTTTTAAAACATACATATTATTTCTCTTCTCATTTTTGTTCCTATTCTTTTTCTTGTTTAAGTCATCTTTTATTAATTTATTTACTTGAATATTTTTTCTCATTTTTCTTTATATGTGATTTTTGTTTATATCCCCAACATCTGTACCTCTACACCTTTGATTTGTACAAATGATGTTCACCTGAAACTACGTGCCCGTTTGAAAGTGATTGGAAAATAACGTTAGGACTTTTTAACAGAAGACACAGAAGACAGTTTGATGCAGCAGGAAAAGCGTAAAGTGTAAATAATATAATGAATGTTTCAGTGTCTTTGTCCTGTATGCTGGCTCACTGTCACACTGTCAAGGTTTACTGTGACGGTTTGATAGAACAGAGCCATTGTTAATGTTATTAGTAACACCTGTTCTGTTTACTGCTGTGACAAGTCAAAATGTGTGTTGTGAAAAAGCCTATTCAGTCATTTTTTAAATTTATTTAATTTTGCTTTATTGTCATTTTGTTTTATATTATTATATGTTTATATGTTCTAATTTTATATATTTCTTGTTCTTATATATAGATTGTTATATATTGTATATTGTAAACTGGATTTAATCTTCTAGGGACACCTCAGGTAGTAGACATTGGCTTAGTCTTCACAGAAATAGAGCAAGAAGGTAATTGATTTGGCACACACACACACACACACACACACACACACACACACACACACACACACACACACACACACACACACACAGTCATGTTTTGTTTCATACTGATATGTGCTTCAGAGTGGTGTGTGATTGAGGTACAGATAGACTCCTCAGGAGAAACCTTTTCTTTCCCCCCAGTTCTGTCCTGATGAGTTTTTAAGTCCAATGCTGCTCTCTGCTGGCCAGGACCAATACAGCATGTTTACTGCTCAAAAAAAAAAAAAAAAGAAAAAGTCCAAAGAGACACAAACATGTGAAAAACACTAATTTATTATGATAAATCATCCTACAAAAAAATTGAAATACTCACAGTGCTCTTGGGGAGGATATCATACTACTCACATAAAATATGTTTTTACTACATCTTTTGGTCTCAATTTCTACATTTTTCACCTCCTGTTGCGAAGAGAGTCCCACATATTTTCATACATATTGTCTCCAGATGGAATCACAGTCTCGTCATCTTTAATTTGGAGTTCATTGGCTTCAAATTCAAAAGCACAACTGAGCATAAACTCAGTGAAACCAAAGTATTGTTCTCTGCATTCTGTACACTAAGTTGTATGAAGCGACTGATTAGAAATAAGCCAAAAACACAAACATTTATGATTTTGAGGCTTATACCAGCTGGTCAAGATTTAAGGTTGAGCTTTTGTGGCTTTGAGAATCAGGCTTGTTTGTTTGAGTGATAGCTTCCCTCAAGTCCCATTTCCTGCCAACAAGCACAGCTCTGCTTCATATCTTTCTTATCTTGATAGATAGCTCACAACCCTACAAGAGCCCCTTACACGAATTCTCCCTCAGATGTGCGTCTGTCAGCAGAAAGTCGTCTGAGGTTTAGTCTGCCTCCTCTTTTGTAAACACATTTGTCTACTTTACCTTTGTTTTCATGATCAGAAATGTATCTCTCCATTTTATAATTAACAAACATTTCAAATGGTTTCTGTGCAAATTTCAACTTGACAAGCAGGCCACCAAGGGGATATGAATGACCCTAAAAAACATATGAAGCTCAAATAAATCACCTTCCAGGAGATTGTTTTACATTTCCCATGCCCACCAGTGGGGTGGACCCGCTGGAGAGGTGGGAGGCCAGGCTGGAGTGACGCATGGGTTCTCAGGCGGTGTGGGAAAGAGACTTGCGGGTATCCATTTAGCAAAGCAGGTCAAAAGTCAGATGTCTGTGAGATTGTCCCCAAAATGTCCTGTCAGAACCAAACTGTAAGGCCCAATTGTAGGACAGATTAGAAGTTAATACTGGCCTTGTATTGAGAAAAAGTTCCACAAATCAATTATTACATTAAAGGACTGGATGGCCATGCAGTGTGAAAGTGATCGGTCATAGTGATGAATAGACAGAAAACTATCATCCAGCAAAGCTTCTTAGCCCATTGCAGCTTACTGTTTTCCACAACTTTACTGTTTGGTTCTCTCTCACTGCTCTCATGAGCCTCAACTGTCTTTTTAAGGAAAACCTGCCAAACGGTACACTGACAAAGTGTAGTGTAGTGTAGTGACTAGCTAGTTAACACACTGCACAGCATTTAGCAGCAAAACAACAAGATATTTCTTGGTGAGAAAGAGAAAGAATATTTGATTTACATTCATCAGGTGTCCAGAAACACATCTTCAAATGAATGCTAAGGTTGCTAGGTATGTCTGTTGGATGTGTTATTAGACAATAGTTTCCTAACATGTCTGCCACAACAATTTCATAAGGTCATCATGATATTGTGTTTACAGTTTATTCCACTGCTGTCAATACTTCCTACTTCAAAGGACCAGTGTGTAGGATTTAGTGGCAGTTAGCGGTGTAGTTGGTGGTCGAAAGAAGAAACTACGGTGTCTGTGAAATATGTGAAAAAATCAAACACCCCTACCTAGCTCTGTCTGTCAAAGCATTTTGTACTGTTTTTAAAGGTTCAGTATAAATAAAGTTATTATTACTATTATAAATAAGATTAGCCTCGCTCATGAATTATTTTAAATAAAATTACTGCAGTACAGTGTTGTTGTTATACCTCTATAAGCTGTGTGTGACCACTATCATTTTCTGGTAGTATCTCAGCGGCTGACCTCTGACCTCTAGTAGGGCTGTCTGAGCTTGTGCCTGATGTAGACCCCCACATATCTCCTGTCTCGACTGGGTGGTCGGTGCAGCACCAACGCACGACCCCATCCTGACAGGCCAGATAGTGTGGGAATCCTCCCTGTGGTAAAACTCAGTGAGAACGAGAATGATGAGGTGCTAAGCCTTGTTAAGTTTGAGCATTGCGGCATGAGGTACAGTACGAAAACACAGCACACTGCCAATCTCCTGCATTGCATAATACACTCAACATGGGCTCTGTCTCCTGCCAATGATCCCCATCTAAGACCTTGAACTGAACTTATGTGTATTGTCCTTCCCCCCTTAGATTGTTTATGTGAAAATCAATACTAAAGTGGTGCACTAGCAGCAGTAAACTTTGCATGAGGAGAGGAGTCATGAGTAGAGGGTACACAGAGACGTGTAAAGCCTATCTGCTTTACAGATAAGGACTTGATGGCTGTGGGAAAAAGAGACAAGCTAAACATTATCAACCGCAGCAAAAACTGCAATCACCATTTTAACTCATACTGTTCTTTTTCATTAAATCAGCCATTTTATAAAACCAGAATATCTAGTGAAAAGGCAAATAACGGATTAAAAAAGAAAAAAAGAGTTTAGTAAGCCACTTCGAGCTCATCAGACCTTACAGCTCAGATCATCTTTCCAACCCTCTAAAGCTTCTCACAGCCCCACAGACAAGGTGTCCGTCCTACTAACGTCAGCAATCTCAGGAGCTCTGCGCCCCTGCTTTCTGTCTTCGATGTATTATAAGAGGTCAGAGTTCAGACCTATCACAGGAGGGGTTGTGTGACCAAGGCAGAAGGGTAGATGAGGTTGTGGTGGGGGGAGGGAAGCAGAACTTGTTTTCAAGTGGTCACCTCCAGGAAAGCTCCCAGCCAGAGTCAGTGGCCCATGGGTGAGAACACGGTGAAGAGGACATGGTATAAAAAGAGTCGAGGGAGCGGGCAGAGCAGGGAGAGAATCGCAACTTTCATATACTCAGATTTAATAAACGTGGACTATATTTACAAAACCAGGAAAACCAACTTTGCATATACAGCCTTCATTACTGGTCTGTATTTTCCGCCTGTTGTCAGAGAAGTCACCATGGCACAACTGATGAATTATTGGATGTGTTTGCTTGCACTAATGTTGACAGTGACCTCGAGCCATGCCTTGAGAAGGTAAGAAACATATTCCTTTGTGTACCTGCCTACTTTGTTTGAAAAACAAGAATTAAGTATAGCTGTAAGGATTTACTGCATAATTGCATTCACATACGTGCTACAGCAGAGTAGTGACAGCAAACAACAAAACAAACAAGGACAGGAAAACAAATGTGTTTTATTGGTTCATTACAAGAGCTAATGTTTTCAGCATTGACTTAACATGTGTTTTTGTTCCTTTTTCTGGCTAGGCACTGAAAGCAAAGCAGTCTGTGCTCTATTAAAGGCTCATTGTTATACTGGGATGATGACCAGGCATATGTATAAGATATATAGCACGGAAAATGTACTTCACAGACTTTCTTTAGTAATATGGTCCACAGTTCCTATTTGTATTCATTTAGTTTCTGTTGCTTGAAGATTCATTTTCATGTCCTTCTGTTTTGGTTCCAGAATCGGCCTGCGGAAGATGCCATCTATCAGAGAGACACTGAGGGAGATGGGTATTTCTGCAGAGCAGGTGTTGACTGAGCTGGCCCAGAAGAGCACAGATGACACGAACAACGGGACTGTTCCCACACCTCTAACCAACTACTTGGATGTGAGACACTTTTGTGCATTACATATTTAAAGGAACATTTCAAAACCCATTTTTATGAAGGATATGAGTCCAGGTGCTGGGAAATCTAGATGTACTGAGTCGAAGGCAACTGAATTGTCTGTTTTAGTCTTGAAGACAAAAACAGACTTGAGTCCTGAAGGTTAAAGCAGTCCCTCATCCAAGATGGCTCATCACTTCTCTTGGATGAGTGTCATAACGTCTTCAAGAATAAAACAGCAGATCCAGTTTCCTCTGAGTTAGTACTTTAAAATATTCTTTGTGTATGAGTCATACTCTCAATGTCATATTTCATACCCTCAAATTATATTTGTGGCTTACTGCACTAGTAAAAAGTTTTCAAAGGAATATTCGAACAACATCAAAACGATAAGATTTGGCTGCTTTTGGAATGTCAGAAATTGTATCATAAATTTATATTTTTACTGTTTATTCCCTATAGACTCAGTACTATGGGGAAATCAGCATCGGCTCTCCGGCCCAGATGTTCAACGTAGTGTTTGATACAGGCTCAGCAAACCTGTGGGTGCCCTCGCAAAGCTGCTCACCTTTCTCCACTGCCTGTTGTAAGTGTCCGCGCTTACTAAAATGTTTACTTAAAGCAGCAATAATTGATATTTCTCTCATAAAAATGCCTCAAATGACAATGTGACCAAGAGACGCTCATTGTGATGAACCTACAGTGAATTATCACCCAAATCAATTTTATGACTCAAATGCATTTTGAACTTTTAGTTACTCACAACAGGTACGATGCCTCCAGATCCCGGACTCACATTGATAATGGAACCGGATTTTCCATCCAGTACGCCTCTGGAAATGTTAGGGGATTTCTGAGCGAGGATGTGGTTGTGGTGAGTTCAAAATCAACACCCATTGAACGCCTTACTTCTAACATTTTCAACCTCTGACCTTCAACTTATTTTTTTTCTTGCAGGTTGGTGGCATTCCTGTGGTGCAAGTGTTTGCTGAAGCTACCTCTCTGTCTGCCATGCCCTTTATTTTTGCTAAATTTGATGGAGTCCTGGGGATGGGTTACCCAAACGTGGCGATCGATGGCATCACTCCGGTATTTGATCGCATCATGTCTCAGCATGTCCTCAGAGAAGAGGTGTTCTCTGTCTACTACAGCAGGTAGGATGAACTGAGTCAACCGACCTCTTGCTTCTCTGTCATTTTAAATGAAAACACGTCCATAATTACATAATTGGAGGATTTGTTTCAATCTAATATTGTCTTGTCTGAACATTTGTTATTTTTGGATCTTACTCATAGAGCTGAAGAAAAAATACCATTAGTGAGGGGAAACAAAACAAAAGTCTGGGTAAAACAAGAGGGTGTTTTGAGAAAATAGGGAAAAATATATGTCAATTTACTCACTTCTTTTTATACTTCTCTATTTATTATGTTCAATTAAGCTCAGAAGAAACCAGCTGAAAAAATATAATGATGTTTTCCTTTCTCTGGGAAGCATCATAAGAATGAGAGATCATAGGGTTAAACTTCAGCAGAAAGAGCATGTAATCGTAAAGTGAGATTGAAGGGTGATTTATATTGTTCTGTTTTCAGGGACCCAAAACACTCCCCAGGTGGAGAGCTGGTCCTCGGTGGCACTGATCCAAACTACTACACTGGAAAATTTAATTATATGGACACCAGAGAGATGGGCAAGTGGGAAGTTACCATGAAAGGGTAAGATCTACTGTACTTAACAAGTACTTTGCCTGCAATGAGAAAAACACTGAAAACAAAACCATATTAAAATGTTTTTTTTAACTACACTTTGTATTGCATTTGTAGAATTGACCAAAAGTTAGCATTAGATAATGCCTCATTTATATATTTAAACATAACATTCCAGAAAACTTTAAATACAAAATGAATAATATAAGTAATAATTTAAGTAATCACCAGGAGAAGTTTCATGGTGACATCTATTAGTTAAAAGTGTACATTTGAGGTACTTATTACTCCACAATCGGACAGCTTCAGTTACTAGTTACTTCACAAAGTAAAGGACTTTCAAATTAAACTACCTAACAGTTCCAGCTGAAATTATTGGTCGATTAATAAATTAGTTGGAAAATGAATTGGCAACTATTTTGGTAATCATCAATCAAAACATTTCATGGTTCTAGATTCACAATTGTGAGGATTTTCTGCTTTTCTTTTTAAATATTTTTATTTATTTTTTATACATTTGGAGGTTTGGACTGTTGGGGCATTGTAAAAGTGTCACTTTGTTAATTGTGACAGCATTTCTCACAATCTTCAGAAATTTTACAAACCAAATAATCAATCGATCAACTGAGAAAATAATCAGCAGATGAATGCATATAAAATTAATAGTTGCGGTCCTATACATAATATTTCAAAATGTGCTCCACCTTAACCAACTACAGCAGTAAAATCCTGCTTTTACATGAATGCATGAGTAATAACAATTTAATGATATATTTAATAATAATAGTAATATAACAATCAATGTTTTCATATTTTTTCTGCATTGAGTGTTTTACCTTTAATGCTTTAAGTACATTTCCCTGATTATACTGACATACTTTTATATGACATTTAACATTACATTTTCAATGCTTTTACTTGTAACTTGTGTGTGTGTTTTACTGTATTTCCTACCACTTCTCTCATTCTTACAGTGTTTCTGTGGGGATGGAGAAGATGTTTTGCGCTGAGGGCTGCACCGCTGTCATCGACACAGGCTCCTCCTACATCACAGGTCCAGCCTCCTCTGTGTCCATGCTGATGAAAACCATCGGAGCACAGCTGGATGAAAGTGGAGTAAGTTTTAACACACGCAACATGGTTTTCCACAATAAACATTTGTCTGGAAAAAGTCATGACAGTCATCACCATTCTCTCTGCGTGTTCTTCATCAGTACAAAGTCAACTGTGACACTGTCAAGACATTGCCAAGCGTCACTTTCCACCTGGGTGGCCACGAGTACTCCCTCACTCAGGAGGATTATATCTTATGGGTAAGCAGGATTATGAATGCATACAGTGGTGATATAACCACCACATTAAGGAAGTTTTTCAGATGAAAATATAACTGGTTACTTTGATTTTATAATCAAACCATGGAATTCAAGAACAAAATATTATACATTATTATTTAGGGCTACAACTAACAATTATTTTTATTATCTCTTCATTAAGAAAATTATGCTGTTTGTCAATAAAAAGTCAGAAAATTGTGAAATATTTTCATTATTATTACTATTTCCCAAAGCTCAATGTCCTCAAATGTCTTGTTTTGTCCACAACCCAAACATATTAAGTGTACTATTATAAAGGACTTAAGAAACCAGAAAATACTGCATTAACATTTGAAATTGGAGAATTTTATACTTTTTTTTTTCTTTCATAAAAATGTATAAACCAATTGTTGCAGCACTGTTATTATAGATTACGACCCTGCACACACACAGATGTTCTCAGTAGTGAACACTAGACTGCACCAGGCTGCTGGGATTAACATGGGCTCATAATAATATAATATAACAAAAACAAAAAACATAGTCCTGAAAAATGTCCTTCTTTTCTATTCTTTTTGGTCGTGTTTTACAAGATAATATCTTGTGCACATAAGAAATCTTTAAGCACATTAGGCCTCCATAAGAGGACATTAATGCATAGTAAATACTTTTACTTTTGATACATAAGTACATTTTGCTGATAGTATTTCTGTGCTTTTACTCAAGTAGAAAGTGCCTTTTCCACCACTTTGTGATACTGTTATAGTGGCTTATTATGGTAAAACCAACTTTTCTTTGTGGCTCCAGCAATCACAGATTGAAGGGGATGTCTGCACTGTCACCTTCAGGGGCCTGGATGTGCCGCCCCCTACAGGTCCCATCTGGATTTTGGGAGCCAACTTCATTGCCCGCTACTACACAGAGTTTGACCGTCGCAATAATCGGATAGGATTCGCTACAGCGGTCTGACAGGAAATTAAACATCTGCCACATTGCTCTGTTTTATTTTTCTCTATCTTTGCTGCTATCTCTTCTTTGTCCAGTCCTCCCTTAAAGGTCCAGTGTGTAACGTTTAGAAAAATCTTTTGGCAAAAATAGAAATACAATTTGAATTTGTGTAAAATCACCTGAAAATCAAAATTGTTATGTTTTCACTACCTTAGAAAGAGCTGTTTTTATCCACACAAGGAAAAGATCCTCTTCCACAGAGGCCCCCATATTGAACCACCATGTTTCTACAGTAGCCCAGAATGGACAGACCAAACACCGGTTCTACTGTTTTTTGTGTGTTTTTTGCATTTTTCTCAGCCACCGTAGTTTCTCCTACATACTTGGAACAAGGAGATTGAGGTGAAGTGTTGTGATTTCCAACTACACCACTATATGCCACCAAATACGACATACTGGTCCTTTAAGTTTCTTTTTATGATAACTCATGATGACATCTCCTTTATAAAAATGGTAGAGTGCACATAGAAGAATATTCTCCCATTTCTGGCAAGTCCTGCTTTCCTTTTATATAATATTGTGTACCTGTTGCACTGAACACATTCTCTTTTTTTTAATTTATAAGCATTTACCAGCAAATGCAAAGTTTCTGTGTGTGTGACTCTGCTGATTATTATCATACAGCAACAGTGGAAATCCATATTTGTATTGTAATGACATAACAAGAATAAACTTGTTTACTGGGGTTTGAATTCGATTCAACTTCAATAATGACTGCATTGTTTCCTTTCAAGTTTATCGAATGCATTTTGTATCATGTGAAAGTCAAGGCTGAAGTTGAAAACAGATTGCTGTAGCAGATTTAATCAGCCACACCAGAGCAGTCACATAAATATTTGTCATTGTTTACTAATGTCTGTGTATGACATTTCTATTTTTAGGTAAAAAGGTAAAACAATCAGATACACATTTGTTTCATGTGTGGCAGTCATGTGTGCTGCTCCCACTGAAAGTTGGCTCTGTACAGTAGGGCTTTTACTGCTGTAGATGTTAAAATTTGAGCCAATTTGAACTAATTTATACACAGTTGGGTAGTTTAATCTACAGCAATGCATCATATTTGATAAGATCATCATATCTTTGTAGCATGGCTGTCCTGTGAGAACCACATATCTCTAAAAAGCTTTCACGAGCTCAGAAAAACAGCCTTTGTGACAATGCATTTTCCAGCTAATTCCAGCTAAAATAGGTTTATAATAGTTTATTTATCTTAAGTCGGGGAATTTTCTCTAGCCATAAAGGATCCACATCCTTCAGTTTATAACAAATCAACACATTTGAAGATAAAAAGTTGCATAAATGGGAAATACTCAAGTTCAGTACAAGTATCTCAAAGTATAGTACTTGGTTACATGACACCATTGTTTATATTATTTTATTTATAACCAAAAAGTAAAAATTCTGTTTTCTCAATTCAGAGCTGGTTCTGACCTCCCTGGAGTCCTAAGCAAAATTCTACTAAGAGGCCCTCCTGCCTGACCCTTGATCCATGTAAACCATTTATCATTGCCACACAGTCACACTTTACACACCACCAGTGCTCCAACTGCAATCCTCTCTCCTTAATTTTCTCTCTCTGTCAGTTTAAGAGTAAGCAGACCCATATAGAAAGAATGTGGTAATAAACAATATTTATTGAACAGAATGTTTTCAGTAGAATCTTAAGATAAGTGATTCACATGAACATGAATATAAAATATAGAAAATAATATAATATAGGTAATATAATTTAATTTAATTTAATATAATATAAAATGATATTGACTGAGAGACAAGATAATCATTGTTTAAAATTATGTGTGCTTGCGAGGAGAGCCATCACGCCCATATTGTCCTCATAGAGGTTGCTGCAGCATGTTCACACGTGACACGGTTATCTTTTCCGAGCAGCAGTTTATACACACCGTTGCCATTTATCTGCCATTTGTATGTATTTAACATGATAAATAGTTGTATTTCACTCACACTTTTGTCCAGCACAATGTCACAAAACACAACCCTAGAAAGGCAGCAAGCGAGCAAGACACAGACAAAGAGAGAGAGATTAGAAATTAAAAATATTGTTAAATTTCTGTGCTGCTTGTGATCCTTGACACTGAGAGAAAACAGAGTTCTTTATAGTTGTTTTTAAAAAACAGTTAATTTTTTTCACCCAGGATGGGTTAGAGTTGAAATCCTGTTTTTACTAAGTAAAGCTGGTCACAAAAAGCCCGGAAATACAAAACTCTTTCGGAGTAAACATGCCTCTACAGGGTGATTTTAAAACTGACTCTACAAAGTTGTTTCTGCTTACTTAGCGGGCAAGAGAGATAAAGATAGCAAAACAATAAAAGCATACATATTTATCAGACACTCTTGTCAGATCTGTTGTCTCGTTTTCTCTGAATTGCTCGGGAAAGTCCTCTCATGCGACACAGATGTGACAGTGAGGGTGCCATGCTTCCTTGCTCTTACATCCATGAATTGTCTGGTTTGGATTTTATCTGTTGACAGTAGACAGTGAGGTGAGGGTGGATATCTCTGTACTGGAATTGAATCAACAGTATATTCAAACCATTGCAAAAATGTCTCTCTCAGTATGAGTCAACAGAACTATTCAGGCTGGAAACCAGCCCAAACAGCCACTCAGACACATTCCAATAAAAACAGACATACACGTTTCATAGCCAAGAAATATTTTCAAATCTTTCGATAATCACCTTGTATTCAACTTTTGTCCTATTACAAAATTTTAAATTAATGAAAGTGCTGGCTATCTTTCTCCTCATCTATTGTTATACAAGGCTAAAGTCACAAAAATATGATAGTCATATAGTATAAATTACATAATACATAAATGAATAGTTCATACATTTGTACATTTTCTTGGCTTATTTGGTTGTTTACTTTCTCACCAAGAGAAATATGGACAGTTGTACACATGCATTTGTTATGATTACATAACTTATCATAAACTAGCAACTCGACATCTTTGCTAACACAGCTTAACATTAAGCAAGTGCAACAACACAAGACATCAGTCAGCTAACATAAATTATTAGTCCAACAGAAAGAAGGCCAGCTTGCCGTCTGTCTGCAGCATTTTATATCACAGCCTTTTTGTGTCCGGTCCGCCCTTAGCTTCCTCCATCAGCATCCTCTTAGGTCTCTTCGCCTTTGTCATTAGCCATGTCCACAGAAGCTGCTGAGCCCAGTTACATTGCCTGTTTGCCCCGCTCCGGTTCTGGAATGATGTTGGTGCTGCTCTCAGTCAGCATTCCTCCCCACTGTCCCAGGCCTGAAAACTCCCAATGGTCCAAAGCTCCTGTGCTACCAGCGTAAACACTAATACTCCCCCAGTCCTCTGAGCATCCAGTCTAGCCAATAGCAGCTGCATTTTACAGTGACTTTACTGTCCATCAGAAAAGTCTGTAAATCACTGAGAGTTGAGGAGGCCATCAGAGGGAAAACCAGAAAAAGTTTTGTCCATAAAATATGATCCAGTTTTACCAAAATCTGGTGATAAAGTTGAGTAGTTTGAATGACCATGTGTCCCACTTTGCGTGGGACTGCACAGCATTTTTATGCCTGGTCCCACATTGAAACAATGTCCCACATGTTTATTGGCTATATTTTTCAAAGGTCAAACCACTGCAGGACAAATGTTTCTGTTTTTTATCCAGGGGCTGTGAAGGAAGCAGGAAAGACTATCACCATGTGGCTGTGGTTTATGTCACTCAAACCACGCACGCATGGGTCAATTGTAGGTTGTCACCGTCTTTGCTATGCTACACCCATGTAGGAAAATTGTGAGTCACTCCGTAAGTCACCAGGTATGCAGATTTCGGTGAAACATGAAGAAAAGTACTACAAAGATAAGGAAATACAGCAAGCTACAACAGCTACAACAAAGCTAACATGTTCCACATGTTGCATAGTGGAGCTTTAAATGTGCACTAATAAAACAGCAAATCCAGTTTCATAATGTTACAGAAGCCGTGCCAGAAGGTATTAAGTTTTGTAAAATTTGACCTCTTGTACACCACATCTAAAAATCCGATTTTATACCTCAGGTTTGTATTTATGAAACCTCTGTGGAGTGAAATAGAATTAATGAAGAAAGTTATAATGGATTAATCTACAGCTAGCATTTTGGCTTTTTTGGCACAATTCTTACCAAAGCTCTGCATCAAGTTGGACAACCCACTCTCTCTATATTTATGTAACCCTGGCTTTAAGGCTCCATCCATCAACAGGAAATACATTTCGGGGAACAACCCAAGTACATTTCCCTCAACTTTTCTACATCACTCAGCACAAATTAAGCATCTTAGGTCCCTGAGTGGTTTTAAGAAAAGACATTAGTTGTACATAACAAAATAAGATTTTGCTGAACAAGTCATACTTCCTTTTTGTTCAAGAGACATCAGGGACCTTTATCAAAGCGGTCCTCCAGATACTAAATCCCTTTCTAAGATTTCCAGACTCTTGTTATACAAAGTATGTTCATTCTGTCTCAAAGGTGTTTTGGTTTAAAGACTGACCTGTGAAAATGCAATATTATTGTAGACCATATACCTTATTTTGATTATATGTATCAAAAGGGGTTATTAGTCCTATGGGTTAATGACCCTTGGCGTCCATTTGTAAATGCAATTACCAGGCACCTTCTCTTTAAGTGTATACATTTTATTTAAAGCTGGGAGGGGGAACACTGTGCTTCTCAAAAAGAAAAAAACAAGTCACATTTGAGCAGCCAAATAATACTTTTAAAACCTAAAGACCACCCACCTAGCTGCTTCTTTATGCTGTATAAGCTGTGAATTGCATAGATATAGGCATTTATCAATAACTCAAACCCCTACAGTTTTTTTTTTTTTTACATTTTTTGATATGGAACAAAAAACATTATGGTTGAAAACACATAAAAGCAAAAGCACAAGTTGCAATGGTAGGAATAGTAAAACAGTTCATGTGAAACAGATGGATGCTGACTGTTAAATAAAAATGTTCCTTTAAACATGAGCAGCGATATTCTGCTCCCATGATTTGACTTGATCGAGTGTGGGTGGTGCACAGAGTTACACAAGATTTTGACAGACCTTGAGAATTTCTTATATGCTGTAAAACAAGGAACATAAAAAGCTGGGCTAAAGACACCTGCTTTATTCCAATGACTCCTCTTGGAATTGATCATTCCCTGAATTTAAACATCACTCCATCTGATGTTAATATTTGTCACTGTGAGTGAAGCCAAACTAGCAATGTGTTAGCCTGTCTCTCAATACTTCCTGACTTCCCTACACTGTCAGCGGCACTCAACCACACTGAAGACATCATGCTTTAAGGTTAAATCATTTCCTAAAACCGCTGGGCACTATAGTTTTTAGCAAATGTTACTCAAACAGGAGTGAATCAGGAATTTGTTGGGACTATTTTCAGCGGTGGGTGGTGTGTGTGGTGAGTTGACGAGTTGACCATGAGGAATAAGCTGTATCAGGATTTGGTAGCAATTACTATACAAGGTTGAAGGATCAAATTATTGTTGGCTTTGGCCTTTTGGGAATTGTTAACAGGAACAAAAATGTAGGAAGCAAGATTGTGTAAACTTTGAATAAAATAATTAACACACTGTTAGTTGTGTGTCATATGAACTCATAAAATTAAACACACCTTAATTCAATATAATCAGTGGTTTGGCAGCAACAGCCTTAGTTGTTCTGGTGCAATCAGTG